AGATACCTGACATAGCAGGTTGAGAACAGCTGCCATGGAAGATTTGAATATAAATGTTGCTGGAAAACATTTAAGGATCCTCTTCCAACCCAGGCCCGCTGATATCCTACTTGGGGTTACTCTAGTTCTGAAATATGCTAAAATCTTAACCTCATTTTGGAATCCTGAAAGGAGAAAGGGGGAAGAGCCCATTCTTTCTCCCCGGCTTTTTGTCACTTCCTTGTTTTCTTTTTTGAGAAAGAATCCCATATACTCTAGGTTGGCTTTGAACTTCCTATTGGCTGAGGGTGATCTTGAACTTGTTTTTGTTAAAAAAATAAAAATATAATAAAATAAAATAAAATAAAAAATAAAAGTAAAAGTAATGCAGATCTTTAATCCCAGAATTTAGGACGCGAAGGACAGATGGATTTGTGTGAGTTTGTGGCCAATCTAATAAACAGAGCTGGTCCTAGGACAGCCAGGGCTACACAAAGAAAGCCTGTCTTGGAAAACAAACAAACAAACAAAAATAAAAAATTAAAAGTACCTATTCATTTATTCTTTGTGTGTGTGTGTGTTCCCCAATGCCTTGGCACTTGTGTGGAGGTCAGAGGACAGCTTATGGGAGTTTGTTATCTCTTTCACCACTTGGGCTAAGTTGCCAGGCTTGGCAGCAAGTCCCTGACAGACCTTGCCCTTCCTCTTGGGTGGAGGGATTATGAGCATGGTCTGCCACCCCAGTCTATAATCTCCTCAGTGGAGTTTATTTTCTTTGTAATAGTTTTATTGATTTTTCTGTTTCTGGACTTGGTTTTGTTTTCAGAACTCATCCACTGTTGGCCACCAGCTAGCTACTAGGGACATGTCAGTCATTTGCTTAATAATACACAGGTTAATTTCTTCCAAAAGACCAGCAACAGAAAGGGTTTAAACCAGTACATTTAGGTTTATGTAGTTGGTCTCAACAGAATAACATTTATTTCTGGGTCCACAAGGAAAGTTGGGTTGAGTGGGTAAGGACAGCAGAGGAAATGCTGATAGCTAATTCAGATTGTCCACCATGATGCAGAATGACAAATTAGGTCTTATTTCTAATGTAGCAGGAAAAGAGAAGTCATTTGACCAGTTTCCTACCGGGCCTCTGTGAATTCCTAAATAAGGCTAAATGTGAAGCTGGCAGGGGTGAAGCTTGGGGTAAAGAAGGGCACTTCTTACAGCCCATCATCACACAGCCCTGCCTCCTCTCTTCTTTTTCTAGCCACTCAAGCTAATGAGTGACAGTGATCCTGTCCCCAGGGCTAGAGTGACTATAAACAATGCTGCCTAGGAAAATATCGGCTTCCAGTCTGGTTTCTTGAGAGTGTTCTAAAGCTGTATGCAGAGAATCCTCACCTAGGGAGTCACAGTTGATGGACAGACATCACCATTGGTGAGTGGTCTTAGCTTTCCTCAGTCTCTGCCTATCTCCTACACCTCTCCTGATCCTTCCTTTTCCAGGCAGTTCCCCATACAAATATCAAGTTCTGAAGGTCTCTGTCCTATGGCCAGACCCAGCCACAACACTCGCACCTCCACAGGTGCCTCGAGTTCTGCCAGCCAGAGGAGGGGACTCGCACTCCTTAGATACCTGTCTGTATCTACAGAGCTAAGATTTAATGTGCCACAACAGTATCGAGGTTGCACTGGTGTAGCCAAGTAGAAAAGGTGGAACAAACTTGTAACCCCATCACTTATAAGTGAGAGAAAAAAAAAAAAAACAAATATCAACCCTCTGATGTGTAGCTAGGGCTACAAAGAGAAACCCAAAAACAAATATTTAAGCTGGATGGTGGTGGTACATACCTTCAGTCCCAGCACTCGGAAAGGCAGAGGCAGGCAGATATCTGTGAGTCTGAGACCAACCTGGCCTATAGATGAGTTCCAGGACAGGCAGGAAGTAACAGGTATCTTTAGTTACACAGTAAGTTTGAGGCCAACCTGGGCTACGTGAGATCCTGTCTCAAAACCAAAACAATGCTACAGGTAAAATTCTGCATCTTTGACATAGATGGGGATGCAAACCCAGCACATGCCTTCTGCTCACCAAGCCTCTTTCTTTCTTTCTTTTTTTTTTTTTGGTATGGCGGCTTCTCTATCCATCCATGCCTTAGAAGCAATGAGGGTGTCTGATTCAGATGCATGTCCCCCAAGTTCAGAAACCAGTGTGAGATATGCTCTTTTCTATGTCATTCTTCCTCTGCCCGCACCAATCCTGGTGCTTCTCCCACATGTAAAAAGAAGCGAAGAATCTGGGGAGATGGCTCAGTTGGTATAGAGTTTGCCATGCAAGCATGAGGACCTGAGTTGGAATCCCAGGTACCCCTGTAACAATCCAGATGGGAGCACGCGTCTGTGATCAAAGTGATTGGGGTAGTGGAGATAAAAGGATACCTGGGGCTGGTTGGCCAGGTACTCAACTGAGTCAGTGAGCTCTAGGTCTGTGTGAGAGACGCCGTCTCAATGATCTAGGTAGAGAATGAATGAAATACCCAACATCATGGAGAAAAGTTGAGGCTTTGAAGCATCAAAGAGTCTAGGAGAGGCTGTTGGTGAAAGTGTAGCCCAGCTGCAGTAGAAGACTCCAGCATTCTTGAGATGCCAGGTCAAGAAACAGGAGCAGTGGTGCGTGCGGAGCCAGCCTGAGCCTAGAAGACAAGCGGTGTGTGCTGCTGCGGAGGGTGGAGGCTGGAGAAGGGACCCAAGACTCGTGGAGCAGACCAGAGGATTGTAAGTAAATCTAAGATATTGACATTGAATTATTTACACTGTGGGAGTGTGGTTTTCCTTTGTTCAGATTGTGACCATGTCCTGATTTTTTCCTCTTGGAGTAAGAAAGTATTTAACTTATTATTTTTTTTATAGGGACCCACAGTTGAGAGATTTTGAATTTTTAAAAGAGATTTTGAATTTTAAGAGATTTTTGATTTTTTTTACAGAGACTGAACTTTTGAAGTGTTTGAATTTGTGAAGACCATTGGAATTTTAAGTTTGTAATATGCGTTATATTTATGATATTTATTAATCTGAGATATAGGGAATGAACCAAAAAGGAGAGGTTATGTCTTAAAAAGTTTTGTGTGTCAGGTTAAAAAGAGGTCAGTTGTGCTGGCTAATTTTTTATTAACTTGACACAGGCCAGAGTCATCTGAGGAGGGAACCCCAATTGAGGAAATGCCTCCATAACATCGGGTTGTAGCTAGGAGTTTGATCTTTGGGGCATGCTGGATGCCTGCTCTAAGAGGAGCTCTTTTGAGAAATGCCCATGCAACATACACAGTTACAAATGCTCAAACGATATCTCTAAGCTCTTCATTTCAAAAGAATCCACTTTGTCTTTCTTCTCCGAAAATGACCCAGGACTTGGACACACCATAAACAGCCAAGAGAGATTAGAAGCAGTTTTTGCCCATAAGAGGCTTATCCATCATAATATCCCTTACCCCCTTTTTGGTAATTATTGGAATCTTGGGCAAAAATCTGGAGATAATGATGTTTAAGTAGAATCCTAATTTACCCTTAAATTTCTGCTCAAGCTAAGAGCTTCTCTACTATTATTATTATTCTTTTAAGACAAGGAAGAGCCCTAGGGGAAGGTGACAGAATGGGAGTTTCCAGAAAGGTTGGAATTACCAATGTACGGGGAGATTTGAATGAGAATTTACATATTTATTAGTTCCAGGCCAACTTGAGCAATAAAATATAGATGCAGCAACTTACCAGATGCTTCCCAGGCAGAGAACATGCCTTCTGCACATCACTACACATGTGAGAAAATCGTTTGTGCTTTTTCTTGTTCTTTGCTTGAATGAGGACCAAAAATGAAAAGAGAATTCTTATGGTGATATGGCTTTTCCTTTTGTTCCTTGCAGTGTGGTTCCAGATACCATGGAAGAGGATCGCTGGTCCTCCATTATATCATGGGTCACATCATGTTGATTAAAGAGTGAGTTTCGGTTACTGTTGGAGAACATTATTTTAAGGTGTGTTACTTTTGTTTATGCTGCTTTGTTTCATTCTATGAAGCTGTGATTCTTTGCCTATCTGAAACACCTGGTGGTCCTAATAAAGAGCTGAATGGCCAATAGCTGGGCAGGAGCAAGGATATGCAGGGCTGGCAGGCAGAGAGTATAAACAGGAGGGGAAAAAAGCCAGGCGGTAATAGTGCATGCCTTTAATCCCAGCACTCGGGAGGCAGAGGTAAGTGGATCTCTGTGAGGTTTGAGGTCAGCCTGGTCTACAAGAGCTAGTTCCAGGATGGGCACCAAAGTTATACAGAGAAACCCTATCTTGAAAAACAAAACAAAACCAAAAACCAAACCAAAACAACAAAAAAAGAAGGAGAAATGAGGAAGAGGGAGCAACTGGAGAACAAGGGGCAGAGGATGTCAGGGGCCAGTAGGTTGTGGAGTAAGAGTGAAAGTTATATGGGCTTCTGTAAGAAAAGGAAAAAGCCCAGAGGCAAAGGTAGTCAGGATAATTTAAGCTAAGAAAAGCTGGCCGGAAACAAGCCAGGCTAAGGTCAGGCATTAATAAGTAAGAATAAGTTTCTGGCATGGGGACCTTGGGGGAGGGTCCAGGAGGGAGGGGAGAGGCAGGGAGGGGAGCAGAGAAAAATGTAGAGCTCAATAAAAATCAATAAAAAAATGCAACAGGAAAAAAAAAAGAATAAGTTTCTGTGTGTGATTTGTTTGGGAGCTAGGTGGTGGGCCCCCCAAAAAGCCACAAGAGCAAAACAACAAGTGATAAGGCTTATGACCTGGAAGGAGTCAGGTGCTCTTGAATGTCAACCAGGTGATGGTTTTTTTCTTCTTAGCCACAGGGAAAAGCTTAGTAGTCATGATTTAATTGGACCTTAAAGAATCCCCATCAAAGGGCACAGCGGAGGGAGTCCTATTTATCAACACTAAATAAACACATGGTGAAGTATGCATAAATATTCTTTATATAAACACGACACAACATTAAATAGTTCAGGTACAGACACACCACTGAGAACACATCCGCTGATGTCAAAGTCGGCTGTAAACACCACCTCCCCCTGAATACAAAAGCTCTGGGCTCACAACACGGATGGATGCCCTGCACAAGGGAAGGGTTCTCCACAGCCCTCCCATACCCCCCACCCGCTCCCCACACAGTCCCGGCAGAAGGGAAAGAAGGAAGGAACCCAACAATACAGCAGCCACGAGAACAAGAGCAGCAGACCCCCTCCCCCGGAGAAAACACGGTGCACTTGGGGCAAGTCAAAGGAGAATGCAAAAATCAGTTGTCACAATGGGAAGAAGGAAATTTTGAAGCAATACTTTTTCCGAGTGCAATTCTTTCTTCAGAGGACGTGTAGCTTCCTGACACAAACGATTCCTGGGTGAAGGTTATACAGTGACAACCAGAAGTCCTGGCTCCTGCTACATCACAGGAGGTAAGGCCTCCTTTCCTCCCGGAGGTGCCAAGTAGCAGGAAGTGAAATGCAAAGCTTTCTGTCAGGCCCCTGGCACAGTATTTCCTTCGCTTTTCCGTGTAAATGTGGATATATTGCTGTATGTGACATTCAAAGGTGACTCTAGGATTGAGTTTCAAGCAGTTTAGATCCCAGATTTTGTTTTGAAACATTCAGATTTAGACGATGAAATTCAAACATGTACAGAGTTCATCCTTTTGATCTCAGAGGGGCCCTAGTTCAGCTCTGCTGACAGAGCTGATAGCCCAGGAGACAGTAAAGCACTCAGAGTCCAGTCAAGACGTGGTGCGGACTGACCCGCCTCGAAACTGTCCGTCTAGCACAGGTTTGCTGAGAAGGCCTGGCTTCTCTGTGCTGGGTATTATTCTTCAGGGTGGTTTGTGGAAAACAGCTCCAGTGTCAAAAACCCAAACCCAGACCCAACCTCAAACTGGGCTTAATTCACTTTCAATATCATATTAGGATCCTAGAGGGCTTCAGTTACCAAAGCACTGAAAGCATATACGGTAGGAACCTTTTGCCAGTTCGGTGTTCCCCATCACGTTATGTACACTATGTGTGTGCGTGCCGAACTCACACATAGATAGGTATACATGTATTCATATGCGATTTTGTTTGAAACTTGAACTGCACAAAACGGTACTTTGCAAGAACCAAGAATCAAATCCACAAATAGAGAGTTTAACAACACACCAAGAGGGGACGGAAGCTGATTGGGACAATCAATTGGGACAGCTCTGCAATGTACAAAATAACTCGGAACCACAGATTTCCAAGCCTGCCGTGCTTCACATGGGGTCTGGAGGGACACCTTGAGACCCTTGGGACGAGCACATGGCAACTCGTGCAGGGAGCTCACCTGTGATTTCAGAGCTAGTGGGAATGAAAAGACCTAGGCAAACCAATTTCAGAGGATTCTTGCTTCAAGGCAATATGTATTTTTTTCTCTGTAAGAAAAAAAACACTTAAAAGTCTACTTCAGAATATATTTCTTTATATTCAGCAATATGTTTTTCTCTCTTTCCTGCTGAATTGGCATTTGGCCAAAATCAGTTTATTCAGTAGATCAGTAAACAGGCAGCTTCTTTCCTGTGTGGTTGATAAAAATCGCTTTATCACCATCAGGAACGGCCTCCCACTTGTGCCAGACTCCTGCTAGGCCTTGTGGGCTGATGTGCGTGTGTGGTCATTGCTACTGACAAACCCTTTTCCTACAAGGCCTGCTCGGGCACTCGCTTGTGAAAAATGACCGACTGTCTTTGCTGGTACTGCTGTTTGCGTCTCTTCCGTTTGTCACACTGGCATAAGAGAAGCATCTTGAAGGTGGTTCTGAATGTTTTGTTGCACAGGGCATAGCACACGGGGTTCACGGTGCTGTTGATATAGCACAGCCAGTAGCCCAGATTCCAATAGGTTTTGGGTATGCAGCTGTCACAGAAGGTATTCACCAGGACCATGATGTTGTAGGGGGTCCACGTGATGATGAAGGCCAGCAAGATGGCGCTGAGGGTCTGGGCTGCCTTCTTCTCCTTGATGAGCGACATCCTTTTCCGCTTGGTGATCTGACTTCTGGTCTTCAGAGCAAACCTCTTAGCCAGCGTGGCTTCCTTGAAGGACAGAGGGAGAGCGGCCGTGGTCTTGTCCACTGAGGAGTTGGTGCTGGAGGTCTTGGCTGTGTCCACGGCGGACTCTAACTGGATGGGAAGCTTGGAGAAGTCCTTCTGACAATTGTCACCATCATCCATGCTTTTCTGGGTCTGCAGCTTATTGGCATTTCGTTCCACATCAACAGTTCCCAGGTCCTCGTCGGGCACCTGCAGGTTGTCTGAGGATGGTAGCTTGGTAGCGTTGAGGATGGTGTTGTGACCTGGCAGCTTGAGCACAATAGAATAGATGGCTCTGGTCTCCGAGCCAATGTCCTCTTCATCTGAGGAGGCGGAGTTTTCCAGAGAGGCAGCAGCGTCATTGTTATTCCAGCTGTCACTACTACTATGGTCTTGGTCCATCTGCTCAACACTGGGCTTCCAGCTCTTGGTCGTGAACCAGAAGTGACAGCGGCCGTACTTTCTCCTGGAGGAGCGCTTCATGCTCTGCTGCAGTTCATAGCTGCTGCAGCTTCGAGAACTGCCTGTGGGGTGGACAAAGTTTTCTGCCTCAGCTTCTGTGCCAGAGGCCTGTAGCCCAGCCAGCTCTTTGGTACGTTTTTCAGTTTCCTTATAGATCCTCCAATATAAAATAGTCATGATGGTGACGGGCATATAAAAGGCAGCAATCGCCGTGCCGAAGGTGATGGTGGGCTCGCTCAGGAACTGAATGAAACATTCTCCTGGGGGCACAGTTCTCTTCCCTACAAAGTATTGCCAGAACAAGATGGCAGGAGCCCACAGGACAAAGGAGATGACCCAAGCTAGCCCAATCATCACACCAGCCCGTTTGGTTGTTCGTTTGGCTCGGTAGGTGAGTGGCCTTGTGATGGAAAAGTACCTGTCAAAACTGATGACCAGCAGATTCATGACAGAAGCATTGCTGGCCACATAGTCAATAGAAAGCCAGAGGTCACAGGCTAAGTTCCCCAGTGCCCAGCGGTTCATAATGATGTAGGTGGTGAACAGGTTCATGGAAATGACCCCGATGATGAGATCTGCACAGGCCAGGCTTAGGAGGAAGTAGTTGTTGACTGTCTTCAGCTGTTTGTTGACCTTAAATGCCACAATGACAAGGATGTTGCCAATGATGGTCACTAATGCCAGGAAGCCTGTTAAGAATGCAATGAAGACCACTTGCCAGACGGTGTGACCCCCCAGAGGGTCGTTGGAGGTGTCGTTGGAGGAGAAGTTCCCAGCTGCTTGCGAAATGTTGTAGCTGCCCAAGTGAGTGACTGTCCCCAAGGGCAGCCCTGCCTCTGAGGAACTGTGCGCCCAGGAAGAGCTGATGTTGGGAAACAAAGGCGAGGTTGTGCTGTTACTGTGCAAGGCCATTGTGACTCTCTGACATAGTCTGGGGAAGAAAGAGAAAAGACGAAGTTAGGAAAGATCTTTGTTCTGTTTGGTAATTTTTTTTTGGGGGGGGGCAGCTTACTTATTTTTTCATATATATGTTCTTATAAAGATTAAATGTGATCTTTGACCATTACATACAATTCATACTAAATACTTATCAACCCCAGTTTCTCTTAATTCTCTCCCCCTTCTGTCTACCTGTCCCTTCTTTTCTGGAAATCTTTCTTACATTTCTGTCTACATTTTTGTTTTGAGGGAGGGTTTCAGTCTGTAACCTAAGCAGGTCTGGAACTCACTCCTTAGCCTTCAAACTTGTGGCCTTTCTGTCTCAGGCTTGCAGAGCTGGAATGAGGTGGGCACCACACTTGGTTTTGTACGGCCCGCATTTAGGAAGTGTGTTACAAGACACAAGCTTCAAAGCAGTTGCATATAATTGAGTTAATTCTCTAATGTGAAGGGTAGGAGTCAAGGGCATGCTGGGATCCATCTGTTCAAGGCAGAATAATTAGCAAAGGGACTGACCTTTGTGCTTTCCCTCATGTGTGTACATACATTTCGTGGAACACTGACATCAAACAAAACTCTGATTTACTTACTTCTCTCATTTTCACAAGAGCAAATGCTTATAGGGCAATTATTTGACCATAAAGTTACCTTCTTCCTGCTTGATAAATGGATGTGAGTTATTTGCATTTTATCTACCAGATAAAATGATGAACATTTAGACATCTAAGACTTCAGACATAAGCAACTTGAAGGTGATACCAGCTATTCAAGCCTTACTGGAATGATCCAAGCCAACCCAAAGCAGGACAGAAAATTGTGTCCAACATTTCACATAGTACTGTCTCTTTATTTTCATCCTTATTTATTTAGAAACAGGGTCTCATGTAGCTCAAACTGGCCTTAACCAGATTATGTAGCCAAGAATGACTTTGAATTCTTATCCTTGAGTCTCTAACTCTGGAGTGTAAGTATTAAAGTAGAATAATTGGGCCTGGGGAGCCTAGCAGGGCTTTCTGCATGATAGGAGGGCACTCTCCTAACTGAGCTACATCCTTAACTCATGACATTGTGTCTTTAAACATTATTGAAATATGTAATATACGGTTTTTTAAAAAATAACATTTGATAGCATGCTCATTTCTTATATACTTTCTAAAGAGCCTTAATCTTCCCAGGGTCTCATCTTCTGCAAAGGTTCTTGGAGCTAGTGGCTACGTTTCCTTCTTTTCTTCAGGGTCTGCACGGTAGCCCTGTTTACAGTCCACCTTGCACCAACCGAGCCCCACTCTGCATCATACATTGACATCCACAACAACTTCTAGGGCCCCTTTCCACTGCGGCATGGTCCAGGGCTCCGCACTCATGGGAACTGATCATGTTCTGGTGTCTTGTTTGCTTGTTTTATGACAGCCATGCTGATTTCATTACAAATAAACATAACACCCAGAACTCCCAAGGCTTCTTGTCTGTTGTCTTTTATTTTTCTTACTAAGGGTGACGCAGGAGATGTCTGTAACTTGCCGTTCTTTCAGCTGTTCTCTTGTGTCCAGCCTGATACTCTTACCAGCATGTTTTGTGATAGGTGTTTGCCACCTGACCTAGAGTCCTTGACCACAGTAATGGACTTGACACACATACAAACAGAGATCATAGGTTTGGTGAATTCACATGGATGCTGGAAAGAGAGAAAGTCCGTCTTTAGGGGTGCCGGGTTCTGTTCACCACCTTTGTATCCATATGCAAAATCCGAAACGTAAGTGAAGGCAGAAGACAGATAGGAGGCAGGAGTGATGGGATGGCACCCTAAGAAAGAGACAGTCTGAGGGTAGTACTTTCAAAACTAGACATAGCTATTCCTAAATCAACAGGACCCCCTTGACCTTGGTTATATAACCAAAATGTTCCCTTTGTTTCTTGGGAGATTGAAGGAAGGCTTTGATTACCACAACAAATGATTCTTGATTAATCTGTTTGATTAAAGTATCAAGTGGATATTCTAGATCAGTCTCTATATCTAATATATAAATTGAGGATTATAGTTAATAAAGTTGTATTAGAATTTTCTTGTTAAAGCAAGTGGGCTTGAGTTGCTCTTACCACACATGCAATAATCTGCAGTAACAGATATGTAAATCTGTGTCACTATGGAAACCATTTGTTCTCTTAATATGTTGTGAATATCAACTATACAGGAAGAAATTGGTTCAAATTTTTTTGTTATGCTTGTTTATTTACTTAGCTTTTTGTATGTGTGCACATGTATTGTGGGTACATATGCCATGGTGCATGTATGGAGTTCATAGGACAACTTGGGCAACTGGTTCTCTCCTCTTACTGTGTGGATTCCGGGAATCTAACTCAGGTCACCAGGCTAGGCAGCAGGTGCCTTTCCACGCTGGCCCATCTGACTGGCTCAGGTCACCAGGCTAGGCAGCGAGTGCCTTAACATGTTGGCCCTTCTGACTGGCTCTTGAAATTTGTTTTTTAAAAAAATAAAAAGTGATTGGAAGTAAAAAAAATTAATGTGGTCATGGTCAGCATTAGTACATCTCAGTTCTTGCTGGTGCCACTGTGATTGGTCTGCAGAATCCAGGAAGTCCCAGGATATATATTATGGGATGTGATCCATCCCATAACTGAGAGTGAAGATATGCATAAGATCTTTTTAAAAAATCAGAAAGTCATGTGGACAATAAGAAAGCCCTTCCTGTGGACATCACATCTTACTATATAAATGCAAAACAACTGGATTTGTTCAGCTGGCCAATTAGGTACCAGAGAATGTGAGAAATTTAGAGATAAAGGCTCAGGTTAGTTATTTTCTTTTAGTTTCTTTTATTCCACTAGTCCACAGAGCACCACAGTCCTCTGATCGATTCTGGAAAAGTGAGACAAAGCTCTCAATTTAAAAAATCTTTAATTAGAAACTCTAAGTGACTTCCTGCTTCCCAGAAGTCTAAATTATATTTCTTTAAAGTTTTGTTTCTTTACACGTATGTGTTTTGCCTGCTGTATGTGCACCACCTGTGCGCTTGGCCCCCATGCGGGTCAGAAGAGGGCATTGAATCCCTGGAACTGGAATTACAGATGGTTGGGAGCCAACACACAGACGCTGGGGACCAAGCCTGGGCCTGTGCAAGAGCAGCAAGTGCTCTTAACCCCCAAGCCATCTCTCCAGCCCCCGAATTCCACTTCTAAATTAATCCTTCTTTTTCTTCTCATGGCCCTGGAGGAACCTTAGCAGTCGGCAGCCATGTTTTTGAAGGACCAGCTTCCTGGCATCTTTTCTCTTTAGAATACATCATCCGCAGGGCTTGTTTTGGGTCTCTGCTTTGGACCAGAGCGGTCTGTTTTCTGTCAGAGTTCATTACAGCACTCCACAGCAATGTCTTCATGAATGGACAGAAAGATCGCATCAGGCCACTAGGTGGCAAAGTTGGCTCAAAGAACAACCTTGGTGGGTGCCAGAAGCCGCCTAAGCAGCAGGCCGTCCCTGAGCTGGCTTAGTTCAGTCACGCAGCGGAGGAGGGCATCAAACAGGGTGGACAGAGCTTTGCAATCAAACGTGTCTTTAAAGGGAATCAAACTTGTGAACTTAGCCCTCGTCTTCATTTCAAGCTGTGAGGAGGAGAGACGATGCCTAATATGGCACAGCGGTTCTTGTTGTGAACAAAACATTTCCGCACGCCAAAAGTGGGGTAAAATTCCACTTAAAAAGGAGAAGGCTTGTTTTTAAAAAGGACGACGTATCAGTCTGCCTTCCTGGTTGCTGCCTTTCATCAGCTTTTATTCGACGTGACAAAAAAAAAATGTGACATGCTTGGAAAAAAAAAAAAAACCTCACATCAGTACCGCCGAGGCCTGGCACCGGCTCACGAAATAACATAGTTTAACCTTAAAAACAAACATCCGAGTTGGATGATTGTGGATCTCCGCGAGCACCTTTCAAGCCTAAAACGTTTATTTTAAAAAAACTAGTCTTTAGAGAAATGGAATGAAATAAAAAAAATCAAATATGAGTGAGACCCCTTTACCCAGAGAGGGTTAGCGCACTGCCCCCGACACGTTCTTGAAGGAGAGAAAGCCCTGACAGTCTGAGACCTGCTGTCTTTCTACATTCTGAAGGTCGTTCAATGTCATTTGCTCTGGTTGCTAAGCTTTTGTGATGGAAGAGAAGAAGTCACACTTTGGGGGGAAAAAAACCCTTGATCTTACACAGCCTTGGAAATAATTTTGCTTAAAGATCTCCTAGGGGCTGGGAGTTGGCTCAGTGGGTAAAGCACTGGCCGCAGGAGCCCAAGGACCTGAGTTTGGATAGCCCAGAATCCAAGGAAAAAAGTGAGTGCCACAGAGCATGCCTGTAATTCCAGCTCTCCTATGGTGAGATGGGAGGCAGACAGGAGGATCACTGGAAGCTTGTTGGCCAGCTAGCTTATTATACAGTCACAGAGCAACAAGGGACTGTCTTACGCAAGGCAGGTGGGGACTGAAACCTGAGGTAGTCCTTTGACCTCCACATGTGCCCTGTGGCATGTGTGTGCCTGCACTCACACACATGAACATGTACGCATACACATATACAACTGCATAAATAAAATATATGTGCATACATAAAAAATAGTAGAAAAAATCATCACAGTTTGGACCAAAGATTTAGGATATATGTCAATACACATACTACAAAGTCACCCAGCAAAGCCCATGCAATTGCCCCACTATTTACGCTATTGCTACTGACAAGTTTTACTCCTTATGTTTTTTTTAAAGGTCCATACTTATCAGACTATCTGTCTTTATAGCCACACGTGCCCCATATATCTGATTTCCACAAATACTTCCATATGTTTACATACCCCAACTGATACATGTTTGTACACACACTGCAAGTCTGGAAAAAAAAAAACCCCAAAAAAGTAGAAGCAGTGTGTGAGGTGGACAGAGGAAGTCCTGCCACAGCACGTAAGGGTCAGGAGATGTCCCGAACACTAACAC